AAAGAGTGTAAAGCTCTTGATTGTGTGGTCGTGGGGTTGAACTATATAATCTTTAATACTAGTATGCAATTACTTATTTATTTTTTTATTTTTATTTTTGCACCAAAGAATCTCCCCCACATTAAAACCTTTTCAATTTTCTCATTGTTATTTTCTATTTTAAACTCAAAATTTTTCAATTTTTTTATATTACATTGTGTGTGTCAATCATTTTTTTTTATATAATTAAAGAGTACATTTCTTCTCTTTGATGGATTTTATATATTTATATTTTTTTCTTGAAACACTGTAAATATTATAAATTTATAAATTTTTGATGAATATTTATATTTTATAAAAAGGAAGGTTGGCCTGGCATATAGGCCTTGCCTCCTTCTTTATAATCTAGGGGTGTTTGCATACGTGAGACACCTAGCATATTTTTTCTTTTATGTAGTTTTTTTATTTTAATTTAGTATATTAATTAAAATTATATTTGAAATTTTTTCTTTGAATGCCATCTAGTATTTTGTGTTTTTTGTTTATAACTATGGTCATAGCCTTTCTTATTACATTAATCGATGGTTTTTTGTATAACCATGCATGCTTTTATTTTAAACAAAATATTTGATTGATTTCTTATGTAAGCTAATTTTATTGTTATATAATTAAATTTAAAAAATAGTTTTTTAAAAAATAAATTTGTTAGATCCAGCTATATTATGTGTTTAATAAATTAATTCGAGTTAATTCAAAATATCATTATCTCAATATTTAAAAAATAATGTTATGATATTATTATCTAGAATATTTTCAAATCAAATCAAATTTTTGCTAAGCCAATTATATCACGCTTTAATTTTCTTAGTCAATTAAATTATATAAAATTAACTTTAATATGGTTTAGTTTAAAATTCCAACCATGAGCCCAGTCCAATAAATCTTTAATTTTAATTGAAACTCATTGTAACTTTAGTATTGCTTGCAAAGACTTTATGTCATTAGAATTTAACTTTTAATTGGATATTTTAATCTACATATTTTTTTATCCTTACCATTTATTCTTTAGTCAATGTTAGAATTCCTTTTTAATATTTATAAGCGCATAGAATTCTCAATCTATATTACTAAACATATGCATCAAATTTTGCCTTCACCATCAATCTTTTTTTTATCCTTCCAGAAATACATTAGTAAATATTGGGTATTGAATAATTACTATTTGATTCCAATCCCATTTTATTACTTTTTTTTAGTTAAATAATAGAGGTTATTGTATCATTTTGCATGTCAACCGGAATGGAATTTTTCCTTTAAGGGATGTTAATAATACAGTCTCATTATAGGTTTGGTACGTCCTGGAGAATATATTTCACTATATTTTAACCCAATATTCAAAGTTTAGAGCACATAAAATAAAAAGCATAGAACAAACTTTTTTTTTTAATTGTCAAATCTACTTCTTATAATTATATATTCCTTACCAAGCTTGAAAATCCGATTTCCCTAAATTGTTTCGGGGGCATTGATGCTGCAATTTTATTTTATTTTATTTTTTGGCTGTTCATTAAAATAAGGGATAAATTATGCTATGTCAAACTTTTGATAAGGAATATTACATCTTTCATAACCACGCACATCAAAAGAAACTCTACAGCACATGCATTATTACATCTAAAGCTTAAAATATTTTGATGAATAAGACCAATCGTATATTGATATATACTGATTCTACAAAATGTTATTAACCTGGCTTGAATGATCTTAGAGTGGATGCTGCGCAAGCAGACCACCCATCACTGAACGAACCCCTGAGCCTGAGCGGTGGTGCAGTTCACCGATAAGGGCTCCCACATCCTAGGTTTATTTGCAAACAGAATCTGTTGCCTTGAGAGGTTTCCGTTATGGAGCGGCTCGAGTCATGATTGGACATTAAAACTTTACGCCCAAAATTTGGCATTTGGTCCACGCTCCATAACACCCTAGGGCCGCTGCTCTTATAGCCACCATGTAGCTACTAGACTGCTTTGGCTTCAGTGCCTCTCCGTGTTCCATTCACCCACGCACACACTTGCATCCGTACATCATCAAACTCCCCAATAATTGGACAGTCATGAGCACGCACCAGGCAACAGCGTGGCTCGTTTCTTTTTCCACAAAATCAACCGTACCCAAGGAACCGCGTGCTAGGTGTGGCTCTCTGCCTGTGCGATTATGCAGCCAAGCATTAAAAAGCCTTGTACAATAACGAAGCACGGAAAACACAGAGGTTATTTCTAAGGAGATGCGTGGGTGATCGGGTAGGGTTTTTTTGTTTTTTTCCAAGAAATCCCGACCTGCAAAAAATCAAGTGATTACACGAGTCAATGAAATGAGGATCAAGAAACAATGGAGGGATGACCCTCATTATCATGCTTATTCTACACCACCTCCACCACCACCACCAGATCGTGTCTCATCAACAGTACACCAAGCGCCAACTGATGATCCTCTTTTGAATGGTATTATCAGAAGAGCATCTTTTATAAATTCACAAGAACCACATGACCGCTACCGTATCAGCCCACCATCTGTCGATGATACCAATAAGTTAAGTCCCCGTTCTTGTGTTTCTCATAATGCACAGCTCTATCTACCCAAAAATCAACGGTCCTGTGACCCACCACCTGTGATGAGGAGCACAATCAACGCCTCCATTTGCTCTAACCAGGTTCATCATCTGCAAATACTTTTCATTCCTCTTCTTTTGATTCTTGAAGCTCGATAGCTTATGTTGTATAAGTTGGGACACACCTCGCTTGTCTGATGTCATTAGCTAGATGCTTTTGCAGAACCCAGAAATCTTAGCAGAAGAAAGAACCAGTGAAGAGAAGAGGCTCGTTGCTGCAAATACCCATCAGAGGTTTCTTTACTATCCTCAAAACAACACCAAAAAAAAAAATTGCTTTCTTTCTTTTATCTAATTAATCAGCAAGCAGTTTAATTAAACCCCGTGATTTTTTTTCTTGCTTAAATTTATAATCCCCTATCATGTAATATTCTTGGGAAGTAAAGACTGCTTATTTATTTATTTATTAGCATTCTTCATCTTATTTATCTGGTAATTATTAAAATGTGAAGATTTTCAAGAAACATAATAAATTATATGCATTTTGTTAATTAATTATCAGCTGTAACAGTTGTGTTTTTTTCTTCTGTACCCAGTACTACTATGCATAACAACAGGCACAGCAGTAGCAGCAGCAGCAGTAACGCAGACATATCAGCTGCAACTTCAGTTTCCTCGTCCTTACCTAGTTATGGTATGCGTAACTGTCCATAACTACATAATATCGTACCCCAACTCTACCATAATATTATACTATAGGCATACTGATAAAACTATGTGCATATAGCTGTTATTATAAAATTGATTTGGTTATTTGATCATGTATTACAGGAAGCTGGTGTGAGGAAGAGAAAGTGTTCCCCTTAAAGAAAAGAAGGATTAGCTTGGAAAGATTCATAAGCACCCAAGAATCTAGAAAAGTGGACAAACAGAAGCGAAACAGGAAGATTGCCAAAATGTGGGCTAGCTCAGGAACTGAGGCTATCTATGGAGAAGAGAGAGAGGTAGAGATCAACAGTGATCAAGCAATAGAGAAGAATTTGATGACGAGGTGCACTAAGGTGAATGGGGCAGGATGGAGATGCAGCAAACGGAGGTTTGAAGGGTATTCTTTATGTAAGCACCACTTCAACATGCAAAGGATGTACAACAGCCGTCGTCCAAGATTTGGTGGCAGTAAGAAGAGGAAGAAGGTAATGATAAGCAGTATCCTTGACCGGACAATGCCTTTGCTTGATACATGAAAAACTTATTACTAAACGGAGGTTCTCACTCAGTGATCATGACATGAATGTATATAGTAGTTGAAGTAGGGTGTCATAAACAAGTGAAAAAGAAAATTAGTTATGGTGATAGACAAGTAATCATAGAGTGTATCTTCATGTAGATGTCTTTTTGTCTCAGACATATGATCATGTTTCGGCGTCACAAGTGGAAAAGAAATACACGAAGTAATTTGCTTATTTTCCCCTGTACCATCCATGTTTCTCTTTACAAGTTGGCATTTCCCTGGATCCAAAGCAGACCAAGATTTTCTGTTGCCTGCCCAGACATGGCGTACGAGGTGTAATTTGCCTCGATCAATTCTGTTCTCGCAAGGACCACAATTTTGTTGACGGATCGATCATGAATGGGTTCCATCTCTAAGGAAGTTGGCCTAGTAATAAACCGGGATAGTTTGTGCTTTAGTGCTCAAAAGAGAAATAAATATTATTTGATAATTCGAAGCCAGAAATGTTAGTTCATGGACGAAGCACACTTCTGCATCAACATTTTTCTAAGACAGGTGGGCTCTCCATGCATGTACTAGAAAAAGGAAAAGGAAAATAGAAGGCCTGAGGCCCTCAAGATCCAGTGAACCATTATCTGGGTCAGACCAAAATAAATGGATATTTACCTGCCTTCTCTTCGAGACGGTAGCCCTTCATTTTCATTAAATAAATTATTCTAGACAGAAAACATTCTGTGAATATAGATGAAGGAACCCCACTAAGGATTTCAGAAATAGCATATTAAAAATCTAATTAAGAAAATGCTTAATTTTGAGACCAAAAATAAGAATAGATTTGGGGCTTATACAATAAAAAAGGGCCTAAATCCAATCCAAATTGCATCCACATTCAACGATGGCTCCCCATCTGTGGCCCCCACATCCTTAGCTTCCTTCCAATCCCCAGCTCACCTTCAAGAAGATAAGCTTCTTTACAAGTAGCAACCATTTTTTTTCCTCCATTTTCGAAACAACCAAAAACACTTAAAAAAAAAAGAAAATCCATTCTATCTCAAAACCTCAAGAAAACACCAAGCCTTAAAACAGATGATTTTCTTCAGTAATTCTCCCCAACCAGCATTTTAAAATATCTCATTTTCTTCCTTGAATTTCTTCCTTGAAAAAAAGAGAGCGCTATATATAGAGGGAGAGCGGGAGAGGGAAAAGAATGTCAGTTTTGGCAGCGAATCCTCACGTTTTATACAGAGAAGTGCAGTACCACAATAAAGACCAACAACAACAGTTATGGAGTGGTGGTGGTGGTAGCGGTTTATTGTTATCGCAAAGAACTTCTTTTGGGTGTTCTTGGTTTGATGGCAGAAACAAAGACTTCTGTAAAAAGAACTCAAAGAGAGATCTTAAAGTAGCAGCGTCTTGGCCAGATATGACTAGGCCAACCTCCTTAGAGATGGAACCCATCGATGATTCTCAACATCTTGATAAGATTCTCCTTCAGGCTCGCGAGCTTTCCCAGCCCATTATCATTGACTGGTATCACTCTTTCATATTTTGTGATAACACCGTTGCTTACACTGAATACTATACCTGTCCTTTTATGTCCCAATAAAGGATTTTTTTTTTAAGAAAATTATTTTGGTTAGGATGGCTTCTTGGTGCCGGAAATGCATTTATTTGAAGCCAAAGTTGGAGAAATTGGCTGCTGAATATGATACCAGGTACCCTCTCTTCCTCCATCTCCTGTGAAATATATATATTATTTCCAGCTTTGGTTTAGCATGATTTCAATTCAGTAATAGCTCTACCACACTATTTCACGGCACATAGCGGCCGGTTCAACCGTGTTTTAATTATTATTATTATTTTAAGAAAATTAGTTTTAAATTATTTTTTTTAGTGGTTTTAAATTGTTTGAATAAGTAGTGGTTAAAAATAAATTTTAAAAAATAAAATAATTATTTTGATATATTTTTAAATAAAACATACTTTAAAAAATAATTTCTATTATATTTTTTATTAGATTCAAAATAATGTGGTATATGTTATTTTTCAAATTGATTTTTACTATAAAATATATTAAAATAATATTTTTTTAATCTTTAATATCAATAGGAATTATCTATCCAGATCATGCTAATATATATATTGAGAGTGAAATACCTAGCAGATGATTAAGAAAAATTAAAAAATAATTTAAAATTTAAAAAATAAAGCTAATAAGTAAATAAATAAATAAACAAAAACACAGTTGAATTTCAAAATCAAAATGTAGCTACAGTCCATTAAAGACCCACACTCCATTTACAAAAATAGTCCATTAAAATTTTAATTTCCATCGTATGACATGTTTTTAGTTACTATCCAATTTTATGTTAATTTGCTAATTAGGAAATAAAAATTTTCTCTCATTGCCCCTCTCCAATTCTCCAGTTATTGATAAAATGTTGCCATTTTAGTTGATTGATTTTTTGTTTTTTATTGGTTCGAAAATAGAATCAGATTTTATTGCGTGGATGTCAACAAGGTGCCTCAGGCTCTAGTGAAGCGTGGAAATATATCTGTATGTTTAATTTATACTCTTGTCTCAGTTAGTTTCTTGACTTCACCATTGTCTAATTTTATTTTTATTCTTTGGGGTCCTTCTTGCCAGAAAATGCCTACCATTCAGGTTAGATTCAGTCTTTTAATTGTTTTTATTATGTATTCCATAATTTACAAAAAAGGGTTGTTGTTAATTAGGTAAAATATCGATGTATATATAATGATAGCACTATTGGATCGTCATTGTACTGCAGTTATGGAAAGATGGAGAGATGAAAGCAGAGGTGATTGGAGGGCACAAGGCATGGCTTGTGATGGAAGAAGTGAGAGAAATGATCCAGAAATTCGTATGATATCTGCACTGTACATAACGTTATAGCCTTCTGTTCTTGTCTTCAATTCCCATAAAGAAAGTCAGAAATATGTACAGTGGAACTCTTGAGTCACTCCATTTACTCTCTAAAAAGAACCTGGCAAGTAAAGAGGTAAAGCTTTGGTAGTAAATTGCTATTATTTTTATTATTACTATCATTTGCTTCCCATGTAGTAAAGCGCCAAACCACCCTCAATTCTCGTCGCTTTGGCCGAGTGGTCAAGGGGGTTTCCCGGCGAGAGTTCGAGTCTCTCAGGCGACGTTGATGTCTTCATTTTTTTTAACCCAATGTCGCCATTTTAGCTTTCTGGGACTTGATATGATGCAAGTACGCGACAAAGAAAGGAAACGAAATGGCAGAGTTTTGATAAATGGCAGCAGTCCAAGTTCAAATGAGAGTAGCAATAATTGATGGAGGGCAGCAGCCAGCCTCGACACCGAGCCATCTATTCAGAGTTTCTATTACAATTTTAGATCCTTCCAAAATCAAAAGAAGTTCTTCCCGTGAAATTCCACAGCAAAAAATAGTCGAACACTACTGATACATGATGGAAATCTTCCTTCTTTGTCCAGGTAAAACTAAACATTATTTCAACTTGACAACGTCAATATCAAAGCCATTTTGGAAGGACCGAGAAGAGGTCACATATCACGGAAGCCTGGTCCTGGAGTAATCTGTGACTTATGCCTGAGACTCTGGCCCTGCTGGTTTTGAGTTGAGAAGTGGCTGAAGAGCCTTGACAACAATTGTCATGTTTGGCCTAAAGTCTGCTTCATACTGAACACAAAGTGCTGCAACTGCTGCTAACTGATATACCGATTAAAAAAACACACATAAATGAGCACAAAATACGAGGGAAAAGGAAGAGGAAGAGAAGAAGATCAATTGCAGCTGCCTATTCCCAACATGCACTTTAACCTCTTCTTTTTCCCATCACAATCGCAACTAGAGCCTAGCTACAAATCTGGACTGCATGCTTGATAAATAAACTATTGAGGAAAAGCAACCAGGGGGCAATAGTAAGAACCTTGGCAACTGCCTTTGGAGGGTAATCATTGTTTAGCTTGGGATCCACACATTGCTTCACTTTATCCTCACTCAGTCTTGGCGTTGCCTGCAGCAATTACATTTCTGCTAGGTATAGGCACAAATGAAAGCAAAGGGAAAGGAGGCGTGCTTATAAACTGAAACATACCCAGGTTACAAGACTCTGTTGCCCTTTCGGCATTGTATGGTCTACTGGCTTTCTTCCTGTCAGCAATTCTAGAAGAACAACTCCAAAACTGTATACATCACTTTTCTGAGTTATCTGCCCGGTCATGGCATACCTGAAAACAAACCATGGATTAGAAATGAGGGTGCAAAAAACCTTAGATATTGCAATGCAAGCATCAAGGAGGATAGTAAAAATATTATGGCAGAATAAAGAGTTGCTACTACCTACTAGGCAACCTAAAGAAGTTTAAGCAAGCTCTTAGCATCTTGAAAGTAACAGATAGCAGAAACGATGCCCATTTTGGTTCAGGACACTTCTCTACATTTAGACAGTCATTGCTTTGTTAATAGATGAGAGGGTGCATGTTGATGATTAGTAAGTCAAGACTGCAATTTCAGACAACAGGCTAGGATTAGAGAAATTATGAGGCTTACTCTGGAGCATGGTAGCCAAATGTTCCCAAGACCCTAGTCGAATGCAGTCGAGCAGCAGTGTCAGAATTGGCATTGGACAGGTTGAAATCGGCAATTTTGGACAAGAAACCATCGAAGAGTAGGACATTGCTTGATCTAACATCCCGATGAACTATAGAAGGCTGAACCTTTTCGTGCAGATACTCGAGGCCTTTTGCAGCACCATAAGCAATTTTAACTCTCTGGTTCCAATTCAGAACTGGACCCGGTTCAGCCCCTTCTACGCCCTTCCTCCCTGCACCATAAAATTAACTAAATATGAATCAAATTGCAAGAAGAAAATGAAACTAAGAAACATCATAACTGGAATTACCATGTAATACATCATGTAAAGAACCCATCACTGCAAACTGATAAACCAAGATTCTGTTGTTTGCCTCCAAACAATACCCCGTCAACTCGACAAAGTGCTCATGTTTAAGTCTTGAAACGACAGACAACTGCATGAACCCAGATGCAAACATTGAATCAAGATTTTGTGACCAGCACATTGTATTTTACTAGAAAGAAACTTTCCCAATATCTAACCTGTGCTTCAAAATCAGAATCTGGTTCTTGTGAACTGCTGGTGTCTAGCTTCTTAATTGCAGCAGGCATGCCATCTTTTAACTTGGCATAAAAAACCCGCCCGTAAGAACCTTCTCCAATCAAAGCCTTGGTACCAAAGTTTCCTGTCATCCTATTTAACTCATCCAATGGTATTGATGGGATTTCAATGGGTAAGACTTTCTGTGGAGCTCCACTTCTGGCCTGATTGGCACCTCTTGGCTCTCCTCTCCCGCTGCCTACAATACACAGTAAGAATTATTGCGTCAGAAACTCAAGAAAGAAGAAACCCAGGTAATTATCGAGAAAAGATTGGCGGCTTGTTCTGCTTGGCTGCTATTCTATTTGGCATTAAACTATACTTTCTTCAGAAAAGGAATTGCCAAAAATCTGGCGTGCTATTATATCTCAATAATCGAGGCCAAGAATTCAAGAAAATTTAAAACCAAAATTGGAAACAAAGAATAGAATGAACTACCGCCGCCGCCATATATATTCGCTCCTTTAGGTGGGGCTATGTATTGATTAGCCGGCGGGCCATGTGGTTCCTCCTCATTACCACCGCAACAGAACATATCAACTATTGGATTAATCTAATAAAAAACAATATCCTGCAATCCCAGGAAAACCAAACCGTATAAAAACATGTTATCATGAACACGCCAAAAACAAACAATAAAAGGTCCTTCTTAGAGAATCAAAACCCATAATTAAGAACTATCTTTTAGAATAAATTACACCTATTTTCATCCCTATTGAAATATTTCATCGAAAAAATGCCGACTCCATAACATTATATCAATTTCTGCACAGTGGGCTACACTAATGATGTTGTCAGAATTTAATACTTCTTTGAATTGTTAATCTACATGTTTCTCAACGTTAAAATCAAAAGGAAATGGTTGAATGATCATCATTGAAACACACATACCTATAAGGCGGAGATCAAAGATGACTCGATAGAGGCTGGCAAGAAAAGAAGTAGAAATTGACAGACAGAGAAACAGAAGGAAAGCGCTCTAAAGATGAAGAAAAATGTGGAAACAAAAGAGACAAACAGAGATTGTTGTTGATGATGTTCTGTTTTTGGGACTGAGAGGCGCAAGGTTCCTTTTTGTGTCGCGGGAAATTCGGTTTAGGAAATTGTTCATCCGCTATAAGTAGCCTACTTCTACGTACAGACGTGCCTTCACGTTTTGCATACATCTGCACGTCCCTTCCCATGCACACTTTCTTTCTTTCTTAATTTTTAATTTAATGCTTACTCATACGGTCCATCTTCAACTCATCCTGATTCCTTTTTTCTTCATAACAAATGATGATCTTCAACGGGCCATGGTCCATACATATGTAGACTTCGTTGCATAATTGTCAAATCTGACCTGGGATTTAGCCTATTCACATTCTGAATTCTTAGATTCATATATGCATTTAACTGTAGAATATTTGTTGGAAAAATTTATTATAATTTATTAATAAAAATAATTTTTGATATTTTAGTTTATGTTTACTAATTTTTTAGTAGTGATGGAAAGGTTTTGTATTAGAAAATAATATAAATAGACATTATCTAATAATTCTTGGAAATAATATTAATGTTTTAATGACTAAACGGTTACGAGTTTAAATTTTATCATTTTTATTTATTTGATAAAAATTAAACGCAATGTAGTAGGAGTCTGTACAAGTTTCAAGTCCAATAAATTTTTAATTGAGAAGGTGTATTAGAAAATAATATAAATTATATATTGAAATCGATAATTCTTTATCATTTGAAGTAATTAGATAATAAGATCAACCGAATTTTTTTCAAAATGAAATAATTTCAAGGTTTTTTTAAATTTTTTTTGTTTTGACTTATCAAGATTTTGATCATGAGAATCCATCAAGTTATGGAACCCACTAAGTCACTTAGATTTCAACAACTCATTGTCAAAATCAATTCAAATTAAAACCCAATTTGGGTTATGCTATAGATTACGGGATCAACTAGGGTTCAATACCATGCTTTATGCTTGCATGGTGGATACCTGCTACTGCCATGTTCGCAAATTTCCCTTGGTTAAGGTCATGGGTTAAGGACATGACTTAATTTGGCCACGTTTGTTTCTTTTTATCATATGATTGTAACAACAAATTCAGCCTCGAACAAAACTGGAGCAGAAAAGATTGCGAGAGTATTCTCTTTTCTTTTTGGCTGCATAGAATATTTGATCTTCCATCCTTCTTTTAACACCTGAGATTTCGTTATCAACAGATTCGACCATTTTCTTATTAATTTGTTCTGCCCTAGAAAAGTTCAGTGCTGATTCACGCCTTCAATGGAATTTATCACCCTCCTGGTAACCAAGTTCTTAACTATACTATTAAGATGCACTGGTTTGAATCCATTAATGATTGATGAATATCCTAAATCTATTTCACCAAATGAAGAAAAACTGGAATTCAATTACATTAAACAAAATAAATTTCATTGAAGTCATGAAAACTTGGATAAATTAAATTTAATAGGAAGATAAGTGTTCTGGTAAGCAGGAATTCATAATTTTAGCTTTATAACCTGCTAATCTATTTATTTAAGCTAGTTTTCAAGATGCCGAGTACGGTCTTTTCAAACTGACTTCCACTCCTCGAGTCTACGTAGTACTTTGGTGATAGTTGATTTTTAATATATTTTTTATTTAAAAATATATTAAAAAAATATTTTTTTTATTTTTTAAATTTTATTTTTAATATTAGCAAATTAAAAAAATTTGATAATATTAAAAAAATATTAATTTAAAATAAAAAAATCTTCAAACACGATTTTAAAATATAAAAACAAAAGTTACTAATTTGATGGGGGGACACTTAAAAAGGCACAAGGAGTTCAAACTATGGCTGCTAAAGATTAAGAAGAGAGGTGGTAAACCTTGCAGGTTTGCAGGTACAGTATCAATTGATATTAGTGAGACATATAAGGAGAGAGAGTTGATATTTTCATTCTTCTCACCTCAATGTGGGCATGAGGAACAACAACATAGCAAAATAGAATTCAGTACATTCAGTGATATCCAAAATGTGTTGACTACAAATGCTTGAGCTGCACAGATCCCTCAGCCAGCAGATTTCACACCGAATATCCAGTTCTTACAGAGTCAGCAGAAATCTGCTCCATACAACCGCGCTGACAAAATGGACGCCAGAGACCAATCTCGATCACAAACACCAAGACAACTGAAAGCACCAATCGAATAACCAAAGCTTCATCTTTGGCGCGTTGAGAAACACTGGTGTCCTCCTAAATTTTGTTAACTGTACAATAATCTTAGCATCAGCTTTCAATCTCATTCTTCTTTCCATACACGACCAGTAACCCTCAACTTCAGCTCTTTCCTATCCCCGCCAGAGAAGTAGAGAGCCAAATTCCTTTGAATAATAAGACCATCCTGGCTATCGCGAACTTTCTTGTGACTATCACGGATGCTCCTGGGAATTCCTTGCCATACCAGTTTTCGGCCATTGCCACCAACTTCTAAGCTGTAACTGAATTTCTTTGCTTCATTATCATCACCCATAAACCTTAAGAAGGCCATATAGACAGGTGCCATGCCCAGTTGGAAAGCCTCAAAATGCAAGCAGAACTGTCTTCCAAAACAGTTAAATACCTGCAGAGGATCACAAAATTCAGACGCAGAGTGATGAGCACTGCTAGCAACACAACTAACAACTAACAAGTAAATAAAGCATAATTAATGATTTTGAGAACAGCTTTCCAAGAAAAGTTTATTGTAACAGAAGATTATGATGCAGCCATGTCAAAGCAGCATGTAAAACAGTGCATTCACACTTCTAAAAGCATCCACAGCCAGATAAACGCAAGAACCCATGAGAAGAAAGAATAAACAACTGCTCCAAAACAACCCAGCAGGAAGCATGCATGAATTATATCAAAGTCTCTTTCATATTTTTTCCCGTTTCCTTTAAGGCATTTTTCTATCAAAGATTGAGTCAGCATCTAATCTCAACCCCGAGAAGAGAAATGAAATTTAAGCAATCCAACTTTATCATGCATGGTATTAGGAACTTACAGTAAGCATCCATGTGGCATTTTCAACTTCATGTGGATTTGATTTGACATAACGATGATTGAAGGTACACCCATCATGCATATCAACCTTGTGATCGTCCTTGAGATGGGCAGCAAGGGCAGGGATGTCACCAGTGACAGAACACTCAGACCCAGCATAAGGGCAGCTATATGGACGAAATCGACAGTGTTGCTCATGCTTGAGCTTGCTGTAGTATGGGAAAACATCAAGACATCCTAAACTCTGGTATTTGCAGGGCAGCTCCAATGATTCTGCAACTTTCTCCAAAGCCAAGCACCGTATATTTCCAAGATCATAGCGGCAAGTAGGGCAACAGTTATGTACTCTAAGCTTGCAGGCTGAACATAGAGTGTGTCCATTTGGGCACTGTAACAACCAAGTCACACAAGGAGGGGGAGTTAAGAAAATTAGTTATAATATTAAGCAAGTTTAGAAGATATAAAACACAGATGAAAAGAAGGAAATGACTTTCGTTAAAGAACTATCTCAACCCAATAGTTTAAACTTTTAGATGAGGTTTCAAAATATGATTTTATATTAACTTCAACATATCCCCTCGAGTGAAAACCTTTTGGACTTAAAACTTGTACAAGCCCAAATTACTTTATGCTTAATTTCTATCAAATAGAATAGAGGTGGTGAAATTTGAACTCGTGATCGTTTAGTCAACAAGGCTCGAACCATCTCAACCTAATGCTTAAACTTTTATACTTTTAGGTGAGATACCAAGATATGATTTTATATTACTCAAACAACTTTAAGCTACTGATTTGAAACAATGAACTGAATCTCCGAACCTAATTGACCTAATAAGCAGCAACAAGTTACCCAGTAAACCACTCGAGGCATTTTTGTCCTAAAATATTCAATGAACCAAATGCAAGAGAATGATTTGCGCCCCCCCCCCCCCCCCAAACCACACTCGCGCGCGCGCGCACAAGTCTACAGCTGGCATCATTGATGTCACTCTTTTCCCCAAACAGATTCAAAATCCCTTCTCAATTCCTTTTCCACCCCCCTAATGCAAGCAACACTCTCACCCGCAAGTTATTCTTCTCCAAAGCCCTTGATGGGCATAGCTTTTTTATTTTACATTCATGACCTAAATAGGACATATAAAACAAATTGGTAGACTTCCACACTTTTGCAAGAAGACAAAACAGCAAAGAGTCTTTGAACAGAAGTTCACAGATCTTTGGAATATTTGCAGTGAAGATTCAATCAGGATTGGTAATCAAGGGCGTATATGGCTCCAGATCCATTCTAGCATTTCATAATGTCTGTATATAGTATTTACAACTTGTGCTAATAATATTACATTACAACACAAAGAAGGACCATATCCACAAATCTGTAATTTTATGAAATATACTTTATGTCAGCAATAACCCATAAACAGGACAACAGAATGGATTAACTTCCAAATTTCCTTTAAGCATCAGTTCCCTGGCAGTATTCCACCTCCCCAGGTTCACTAAAATGTGTACTTGCCAGTCATTGACATGATAAATGCCTTATTACAGCAATCTACAATTAATCTATCTTAAATGCTTGAGATATCATAGGCAGTTTCCTTCACTAACAACTCGATATAAGTTTCAGCTATTCCACATGTTGAGATCCTGAATTAATCTCCTTCGAATATTTTTATGGAAAGCAGTCTCAGGTGACATGTGATAGGTCAGAAACTACTTAAAAGAGCATGGAGTTTGCATGTTGCTTTATGGAAGCGACCAGATTAAAGGAGAAAAATCCATGATAATTAAGATCAAACCTGGTGAATTGGAGGATACATTAAATTTGTACAGACAGGACACTCAAGGAGTTCATGGACACCATTGTTTGAATAAACCCCGTGCTTTCCACTCAGAATAACAGTACCTTTTGTAGGTGCAATGTTATTTTCTGATTTTGACGTTGCAATGTCACATTCTGCAACTAATTCAAGAACTTCTTTAAAAGCACTGCCCCCAGGAGCCATTTCTATTTCAAACTGGATGATGTTTTCCAATAACTAAAAAATGCACCACTTTCAACTCTTAGAAGGATTCACACTCCATTGACCTGTAAAAGAAATAAAATATATATATATATATATAT